GCACTGCAACTGATGAAGGTCTTTGACCGAAACGTTTATTTTTATTAAATTTTTAAACCTTTCTTTAGATTTCTTAGATTTTTTACTGTATATATATATTTTTTTCGCTCGAAGTTGTCCGTCCTCGTTTTCCACAATTGCCTATATATGTGTGTATATGTATAGTTTTTTTTTTTTCTCTACGATTAAATTTGTAAACAAGACTCAGGGAATAATCAAAGTTTTGTCATCCTTAGCATCATGTGATTAACTTGTCCAGTTGATTGTGACTGGTAACGAGCTTGGACTGTGTCGTCCCCAGTAATCCACTGCCACGATGGAATACCAGCCTTGAACATAATTCCTATCTTCTACAAAACAAAGAGACATAGGCATTAAAACCTTCACCAAAAAACCAACTGTTAGGTAGTGAAGCTTTAATCAACACAACAAATACAACACTACATGGAGCACATGGCGGACCTGATCCAACAGCGCGTAGATCTGACGTAACAGAACGTAAACGAGGCTACTGACGTACCCAGACTCTTATGAGGCGGAAGTTCAAAATACACCACACCAACAATGTAATTTTGGTCCCCACGAGACTTCCCAAAGGGGTCTCTCTTTCCCTCCCAAGGAACATTAAGATATAGGTCCTCCCAAATGCTATCATCGGTGAAAAAACACACTTGTCTCACGCGGTACATAGCAATAGGTATTTGTTCGTTGCTTATTCTGTGCTTCAGATAGCAAACTGCTGTCATTTGACCAATTACTGATCCAGTAACTTAGCCGTGGAGCGGCCATCCTTGATTAGTATTGGTGGATAACTCTAGTCTGTTGCAGACGTTCGTTGATTTGTGAAAAATAAAAAAAAGTTAACCCTAACCGTCAGAAAGTCTTTTGTTTTCTCTCGCCGTTCTTAGTGCTGCTCACCAGCTGACGGAACGTCTAGAACAGGCTAAGACAAATCTTGGGTACAGAGGCGGGGTGGCGTACCTTACGAAAGTCCCAATACAGTGGAATCCCTATTTCTCGAACTTTCGATTTGTCTAACCTCCCGATAACTCGAACCATAAGTCGTTTCCCTTCCCTCAATGGAACACTGTAATTTTACCCCCGACTTCTCGAACTACCCGATTTTTCAAGCCAGTTTTTGTTTCCCTTGGAGGTTCGAACTGAATCTGGACAATTTTCGACATTTCGACATTTCAATTAGGACAATTTTCGACATTTCGAGGAAGAGTACCTCGAGACAACAGATGATGAAAGGTTGTAAAAATGATGTCCACTTTATTCACTCGCTTGAATGGTCCATGGGAACTTTTGACGGAATACAGGACTTGATAGGAGAGAAGGCATCTTCAAGACAACAGAGATGGTCATGTTTAGAACATAGAGTAAAACGAGAGACTTATAAGAATGAATCATTGGCTGCATTACTGATATAAACAGAGAATATGAATACAAAGACAGTGCAGATATCTGGCGTCTCTTCTAAAAAAACTGATTACTGAATAAGGAAACAGCAGAGATCTTGTACCTTGACTGCACGTCCCCCCAAGTCACCAGTACTTCATATGACGATACACGAATGAGTCGAACTCCTACGACCTGTGATAAAAACAATTCAGATTTTACATGTACATCGCATTTGGGTAATGTATGGAAAGGCCGTTCATGCATGGCAGATAGGATTAAAAATTAATAGCAGAATTTAAATAGCAGATAAATAGTAAATAGGATTAATTTTGTTGATATTCCAGAACGAGCAGAAACAAAGGATGATATTTGTTATGTCGGGTGGAACCGAAGTACGTAATGAGGATATCAATAAATCTGTGAGGTGGCTAGGCCTGGTAAGCCATCACTCCATTAAGCTCGAGAAACGAAAAATATTGAATTTCAACAGTATTATGTCACACACATATGTGCAGTGTATTTTGTTTTGACTGAATTTGATAAAATTTGATTAGCAAAATGCTACAAGAGCCTCACCTTCTGAGGGGGTGACACAGGTTTTGCACAGACATGCAACAAACTTATTCCTGGCAGGGGGAGCGACAGGAAAATATTTAAGATATCGGAAGAGAGAATACTGGGATCCAGACTTCTAACAGGCTCCTGCAGAACGGAGAAAAGGAACCATGATACGTGAATAACACATAGTTGAGGCGACGTTTGAAGATACGACGGAGGCAATTTGGCAGCAAAAGCACTCTTTACTTCTTCCTTTTATAACGAATATGATTAGATACCTTACAACATTTGAACCCATGGCCTTTCTGATAGCAACACAATGGGTGGCTCTTTCATCGTAACTAATCTAGTTATTTATTTATCGTGAGCAGGTCACCCTTCAGTTTGTAATGTAATGAAACCTTTGATATGGACAAAGTCATTTGACGCGCAGGTGAAACACTCACCTATCGATGAAGGTAAAGTAACCACCGTAACAAGTTTGTAATTAAAGCAGATGTTTTGAGCGTTAGCCCCTCGTCAACGAAAATAATAGACACCCAAGGAGGAGATTGTAGACCTACATCCTTACTGTACTAGTTACAGATTTCATCATTTCGCTGGGCCCTTACAACAGCCACAATATGCTTAACTTGTGTTACAAAATTCTTGTTGATGTTATCATAATTAGAAGCAATTTGATACACAAAAAAAGAGGGAAAAGGAAAAACGCTGCAGAAATATAGACTAGGTCCTCAATTCTTACTATTTTTAATGGAGGCTCTGTCAAACAAGTTGCCGTAACCACATCACCGAGTATATACACATACTTAAAACCTCTCTTCAGCAAATTCTAAGCCATGATCGCACTTGTAATAAGCAAAAATCCCCTGGAGCCAATACACCCATGGTAATTAACTTATGATTAACTTTGGTTGTTACTATGGAGTAAAGACGATGCAGTTAAAAAAAAGAAGAAAATAAGTTACTATTACCTGATGAAGACGGAGTTCACTAAGTTGATCATCACTGGGAAATACAGGAGAGCCCATCTCCTTCCACAAACGAAATGGATTCCCATTGCCATTATCCAGCCTATAAACAACAAATGCCACATCTTGTCTCCATGGTAAATTCACAACAGATATGTTTATTTGTGAAAGTGCAGTTCTCCCTGATGTATCATCGCTGTTGTAAAGCAGAGCTGCCAGTTCCCAGTCATTAGTGGAAGACAATCCAAGAGGCTCAATAATAGTGGCCATTACTCCAAAATCATCATGATCGCCATTTTCAAGTGTTATGGAAGTCTTGATCTGTTCATCACCCAACAGTGCCAGAAACCCCATGACACTGAGAACAGGTTTCTTGACAAATTCTACCTTCCTTGGATTAGAGTGGTTCATCTGGAATCTAGCCAATAACGTGCGTTGACGGAAGTAGTATGGCGGATAGCTGATGAATCCATTATCATTACTAAGGAGGTTGTATCTTAAAATCAAACAGAGACAATCCTATATTATAAGATGTTCATATAAACCTGCACCCAACATAACACCGAGACTACTTTCAGCTGAGCTTCTTTCTTTCCTTTTGTTTCTAACACCTCTTTTTCCCAAAAAACAAACAAACAAACAAACAAACAAACAAACAAACAAACAATATTTTTGATTGTCCCTTTCTCTTGTCAATCACATTATATTACTCGCGTTACGAAACGCAGGAAAAAGCCTTTCGGTCCAAATAGAACACTTTACATTGCTGTAACGAAAGGTTAATGCTCGAAACGTTAGCTTCACAAACTCGCCAAGGCACTTAATTTACCTTTATCAATTCAAGTTGATGATAGCTAAGTATATTAGTCACAAAACTGACTTCCGGTAAGGCGCAGTCCCTGCATACGGCCTCCTATTGAATGTGTTTTTTCTGTGATATATGAAGGTAGAAACAGGTATTTCCCGTTGGAGCTTTCTGCTTGGTTCAGTTGAAATCAGCAGCTACAGTTACAGTCGTGTAGTATATCGAAAACTACAGCCTAGTCTTTAATATGGGATTCCATACTCTGCGTTTATTATTTGCCCAGCAGAAACTGAGTTGGTTCTAACAACTGCAGGTAGTCGGGTTTTGCCGTAACGGCTGGGCAAAAGCTCTAGCATCAGAGAAATTTGGTAGATCAGCGATATGACTGGCAGACACGGACAGTTTCACTGCGACTTTTGTAAGTTTGGTTTTCGGTAAGTCTGAAAGAACAAGGCAACGAACCAATTCCTAATTGCCCTTAGACAGCACATTTGATCCTCAGACACCATTTCACACCACTTTACCCCCCTTACCCCCTTCAGTTTCCTTGTAAACTGCTGGCAGTCTGTTTTTCTCTCGAAATTCAGCAGGGGTTACGAGGCGAGACGCTTTAGCCCAAAGGGGAATGAGACGAGACATGGGCGCAGCACGCACGTCTTCCCTACTCGGCCATACCGCCCTTGTCCCGCCTTCTTCCCTACTCGGCCACCGCCATACCGCCCTTTTGCGTTCGCGATGACTAAACACTCGTCTAGTTTCCTTCTGCACTATGTGACAACCGGGATGAGCATTCAATTCTGGGGGCTGAGGGGTAATAGCTTGGCAGAGGCCGAGGGAACTGCCATCAATAAAGGGAAACTTCGTTCCCCTAAAGAAGACTTACAAGAAGATGTCTCCTTGGATAGAACGCGGGTTCTTGTTCATTCAGCAACAGGAGTTGTTGCTACAGTTACGTGGCAGAACTGTAGGTTTGTATGCAGACTTCTGCGACAGCCATTGCTGACCTCTCGTTTAGATCCAAGCTTTTTAGCACAGCATAGGCATTGTCATGGTAGTATTTTGGTGGTATTTCCCTGGCCCACACTGGGTGTCATATTGCTACCAAAACCAAGCTACCCACTCCATGATTATAGTCCCTAGTATCCCTTAGCTTTCGACACACGTGAGCTTTTTTCATAATTTGAAACGCTTATTTCATGATAGTCTGGCATGTCTCCTGACGCATGTCACAGTTGGTGAGTTCTATGATGTTGAAGATCTTTTAAGGTGGGTGAACACAGTTTTTGATACCTGTGTTTCATTCACCCTTTTCTCTAGAACCCTTGATCCCTCGGTCATCAAAAATGGCAGCAAGCAAGTTAACACAAACTTTTGTTTTTTGATGGTTAAGCTGACGTATGTGCCGTTTCCATGGCAACACGAGCAAATATAACCAGGCCTTTAAAATCGGTTTTGTTTATTTGTAGAAAATCTAGTCATT